AAAAAAAAAAAAAAAAAAATTACTTTTGAAGATTGTGCAGTTTTAAAATTGTTAACATTTATATTCTCCTTCAAGCAGCCTTTAGACAACCAAGTTTACATTGAATAAGCCACAGTAATTAAAGTGGGAAGCTACCACCCATCAAATGGTTGATTCTGTTAGCAATACCAGTCTGTTACTAATGCTTACCAAGTTGATCTGAAGGTATATTAGGTGCTTGCTCTAGGAATCAAAATTTCTAGTTATGGCTCTGCCTAAAACCAATGTTCTTTCCACTGTGTGAACTTTTCAACTAGATATAAACTTGTTTAAACATGATCTCTTCTTTAAATACTTATTGCTAAGCATTCTACAACAAACAGCAAAGATTTGGTAATTAATTTGAGACTTTTTTCTTTTTTGGTAAAAGTTTTAAAGCTGTAAATTTCCCTGTGAACACAGTTTTAGCTGCATCCTATACATTATGATATATCGTGTTTTCATTTTCATTTAGTTCAAAATAATTTTAAATTTTCCTTGTGATTTTTTTCTTTGACCCCATTGATTATTTTGAAGTGTATTGTTTAATTTCCAAATATTTGAGGGTTTCCCAGAGTTCTTTCTTTTGCAAACCTCTAACTTAGTTCCATTGTGGTTAAAGAACATACTTTGTATGAGTTCAGTCTTTTTACATGTATTACTTGTTTTGTGGCCCAGCATATGATCTGTCCTAGAAAATATTCTATATGTGCTTTAAAAGAATGTGTAACATAGATTATTTTATGGTTTTTTTCCCTACAATATCACATATTGTAAATATTTTGCATATAGTCATTATAGAACACATTGTCAAGAGGTCCTATTGCTGTTTAAGATGTTGGTATATATTTTCTGGAGCAGTGTGTCATAATAGAAAAGTATAATACGTGAACTTTGAATCAGATGTGCTTGAGTTTGAATACCAATTTTTGTTGTCTGTCCTTGGACAGGTTATATAACCTCTCTGAGCCTTAATATTTTTATCTGTAAAAGGTTAATAATAAGGGTCTTGGGTGGCAAGCAACAGAAAGTGACCTTGACTAATTCAGCATATTCAAATCAAATAGAAACCAGGGTGGCTCCAGGAATGAAGAGAGCAGAAACTGATGACAGTGTCTTTGAGTTGCCGTTATCAGAAAGTATCTTCTGCATCATGTCTTTCCTTAGTCACTGTTCGAGACCCAGACTCCCAGGAGAGAAGGTCCCATGGCCTTCTCCCCGGTCAGATTGCCCACTACTTGGCCAGGGAAGCACACAGCAATTCGATTAACATTCCTCCAAAACTAGTTGGGGAAGGGTATAGTTCCTAAAAAAAAATTGGGGTTTCATTCTTAAAACGAGGAGGAAAGGATACTAGAAGAGACAACAGATAATTGATACAGTACTTATAAGGTTATTATGACTATTAAATGAGAGAATGGCTATAAATTGGTATAATGCTGGGCTCACTAAAAACTATCATTATTTTTATTATATAGGTTGGGCCTCCCTAATCTGAAAATCTGAAATGCAAAATGCTCAAAAATCCAAAACTTTTCCAGTGCCTACATGACACTCAAAGGAAATGCCCATTGGAGCATTTTGCCTTTCAAATTTTCAGATTAGGGATGCTCAACCGGTAAGTCCTGTATAATGCAAATACCGAAATCCAAAAAAAATCAGAACTCCGAAACACTTCTGGTCCCAAGCATTTCCAGACGAGGGATGCTCAGGTTGTAGTACATTCTTTATCATTATTTTTTGTAGTTAATATATCCTGAAACTAATATTTGTGGTTTAGACTCTGCGGTGGTATCTTAGCAAATCCTGTTATATTATTAACATGCATTATATTTATATTCTAAGAGCTTGCTTAGGATTATTGGAGAGAATAAAACAAATTGAAGCTTGGGTGCCATGAAGGAATTTTAGATAGGAAGTACAGTCTTTCAGTCAATGCTTTTTCATTTTCCCTCCCTCAGGTTAAAGCTTAAGCTCAACAAAGATATAGCACTCACTTTGGGTGTCTATAATATGGTCCAGAAGGCTGTCAAGCCTGCTCCAATAAGGCTGTATCGGGAAACAAATGAACCAGTGAAAACCAAGACCCGAACATTTAATGTAAATACAGGCAGTTTGCTTCTGCCTAGCGACACCAAGAGGTCTCAGGTAGGTAGATATGCCTTCTTACTGAATTTTCTGCCATTGAAGAGTTAACAGCAAGGGGAGACATTGATCAAGTTAACCAGTTAAATAACTTTCATGTGTGTATGTTTCTTTCCAAGATGTTACAACACAAAGTCTTTCTGGAACTCTGGTGTCTGGATGAGTGATATCTTGAGAGCTAGAAAGTTAAACGGGGCCAGTGTTTGCAACATCAGTAAAAACTTCAGCCCTTGGCCGGGCGTGGTGGCTCACGCCTGTAATCCTAGCACTTTGGGAGGCCGAGGCAGGTGGATTGCTCAAGGTCAGGAGTTCGAAACCAGCCTGAGCAAGACCCCGTCTCTACCAAAAATAGAAATAAATTAATTGACCAACTAAAAATATATATACAAAAAATTAGCCGGGCATGGTGGCGCATGCCTGTAGTCCCAGCTACTCGGGAGGCTGAGGCAGTAGGATCACTGAGCCCCGGAGATTGAGGTTGCTGTGAGCCAGGCTGAGGCCACGGCACTCACTCTAGCCTGGGCAACAAAGTGAGACTCTGTCTCAAAAAAAAAAAAAAAAAAACTTCAGCCCTTGATCACTCAGCGCACACTGCTCTGTGTCTAACAGTTTAATTCCTTACTCAGGTACAATAGCAGAAAATGTTTTGTAGTTGATTAGGGAGATGAGGAGCTAAGTGCGAATGTAGTTCCATTGTGATTAAAGAACATACTTTGTGATTTCAGTCTTTTTACATGTATAGAGACTTGTTTTGTTTTGTTTTGTTTTGTTTGAGACAGAGTCTTGCTTTGTTGCCCAAGCTAGAGTGAGTGCAATGGCGTTAGCCTAGCTCACAGCAACCTCAAATTCCTGGGCTCAAGCAATCCTGCTGCCTCAGCCTCCCAAGTAGCTGGGACTATAGGCATGCGCCACCATGCCCGGCTAATTTTTTTCTCTATATATTAGTTGGCCAATTGATTTCTTTCTATTTATAGTAGAGACGGGGTCTCGCTCTTGCTCAGGCTGGTTTCGAACTCCTGACCTCAAGCAATCCACCTGCCTCGGCCTCCCAGAGTGCTAGGATTACAGGCATGAGAGACTTGTTTTGTGACCTCTTTTTTTTTTTCTTTCTTTCTTTCTTTTTTTTGAGACAGGGTCTCCCTCTGTTGCCTAGGCTAGAATGCAGTGGTATCATCAGAGCTCACTGCAGCCTTGAGCTCTTGGGATCAAGTGATCCACCTGCCTTGGCTTCCCAGAGTGCTAGGATTATAGGCATGAGCCACCATACCCAGCCTGTGGCCTCTTTTTCTTAGGGAGAGAATTTGTTTTTGTTAAATTAAAATTTTTCCTTTGCTTTGGAGTGACACACATCTATTTTTCTGAACCTGAAAGACAGACTTAGAATGCAGAACATTATATTTTCTCATCCTCTCACTTTGTTAAACCTCAAAAAGGATTTGACAATGAAAATTAAAATGGAATGAATCATCCTTTTTAATTATGCAAAATGTGGGAGAGAATCTGAGGTTTTATATAAGCTCAGGACCTGGAAGGATGATTAAAATATTATTTTGATTCAACCCATGAGATGTTTTTTGGAGCACAAATTTCAAGCCAGAGTATTTTGCCCTACTTTGTAAAGAAGAAGAAAGGAAATTTCCTCTTCCATTTTGGAAGTAACTAGTTTTTCATATTGGTTTATCATAGGCAATAGGTCTTCTGGTTACTGAGTTTTGTTCTATATCCATTATGCTTGAGAAAAACATTGAGGGCTCTTTTTTTGTTCATAAAACACAAATATGTGTTACTAGTGCTGTAATCACATATCCAGGATCAAAGGCAAATATTAATCTGAAAGTAATACTTAATATACGTATGTTGTGTGTGCTTCCCACCCTGAGACCTAGCACAGTTCCTGACATAGGTCCTCTCATTTCAATAAATAGGTATGGTTTAAGTATCCTTTGTGTGTCAGGCATAGTGCTGGGAGGTTAGCACGTGTTAAATCAGAGAAGGAATAAATAACTGAAGAGTGTGGCCTTTGGCACCAGAAAGATAGGGGTTTAAAGCCCAATTCATTTGTACAACCTGGAGCAAGTTACCCAACCACTGAGCCTCAGTTCACTCATCTTTAAAACAGTTTTTAACACCTACCTCCTAGGATTGTTACAGAAGAAAAATTAGATGACAAATGTAAAGTACCTGGTAGTCACTCAGTAAATGTTACTTACCTGTCATAGGAGGAGGGTGCCCTGCTGAGCCCTCTTCCTGCTCCTCATCTGATTTTAACCTGCTAAAGTCATGCAGCAGCGTTTTGCATAGCCTCTCTCTGTGTTCTTCACTGTTTCCCTCCTCAGATCTATGGGAGTCGTCAGATTGTGCTAGAGAAAGAAGAAACAGAAGAGCTGAAACGGTTTGATGAACCAGGTTTGATTCTCATCGGTTTCAAGCCCTTAGCAATGCTGAAGACGCACCACTACCTGAGGCCCTCCCTGTTCCTGTACCCTGAGGAGTCCCTGGTGAACGGTGAGTGGCACAGACCAAGGGTGAATGGATGACTAACACAGAACGCTGTTCATGGGCAGTGTTTCCCGAATGTGTGTTGCTTAGACACTGTACAGGAGATGTTAATGGGGTACTTTTTTTTTTGGGACAGGGTCTCACTCTGTTGCCCAGGCTCCTGGACAGTGGTGCGATCATAGCTCACTGCAGCCTCGAATTCCTGAGCTTAGCCTCCAGAGTAGTTGGGACTATAGACATGTGCCATCATGCCTGGCTAATTTTTATTTTTTGTACAGGCAAGGTCTCACTAGGTTGCCCAGGCTGGTCTCGACCTCCTGGCCTCAAGTGATCTTCCCACTTCAGTCTCCCTATATGTTGGGATTACAGGTGTGAACCACTGTGCCTGTCCTAATGGAGTATTTTTAAAGTGTTTCCTGCTCAAATTTTGGAAATGTGGAACTAAACACAAGCTAAAGAGATTTCTTTAGGACCTAGTACTGATACACATTGTGAATATCCAGGAGGGACTATGGAATTTAGCATTTAAATACTTATTCCTTTTCTCAGGAGAAACTGGTGGCAGGGGATGGGAGGAATCCTTATTTCCTATATACTTCGTTCTTAGACGCATCAGATAGAGAACAAAATACAAAAACCAAACAAACCCACAGCTTTTTCTCTAGTGTTGTCAATTAAAGATGATGTGAACTCTGTCCTTGTGTTTATTTGTGCTGCCCAGACCTGTCTTCTGTGCTGCAGCTCATGAGCCCCCCAGATTTGATCTGATTGGTTTTCATTAACACCTGGAGCTCATGTCATTACCCTAATGTCAGTAAAAGTGATCTGACACTAGTAGTCCTCATTCTAAATGGAGTATATGAGGCTTCCAAACCTCTTATTTCTTTCCTTTCTCTTCTTTCTAAACTTCTACTGCCCCCACATGCCCCTCAGCTGTGAGTTTCTCATCCCTCACCTGTTGAGGCTTCATAAACCCTTTAAAAAAAGGGAAGATGTGCTGTGATCACGAAGGTGGTTTTGCAGGGTGGCTTACCCATTGCACTCCAGATGTCTGGCCCCTGCAATCTCCCCAGTGGTGGGAAACCCGACTGCATAATTTGTGATAGTGGGAAACTGCGTTCACACTGTCCCGTGAAGAAGAAAAGAAAATGGAAGAGAAATTGTAGGGCTCAGAGGGAAGAAAAGAGAATTTGTTGGGATGTAGGCTGCCGGGACATTTGTTTTCTAGGGAGCTCAACCCTGTTCAGTGCTCTACTCATCAAGTGTCTGGAGAAGGAGGTCCTAGCAGTGTGCAGATATACACCCCGCAAGAACATCCCCCCTTGCTTTGTGGCTTTGGTGCCACAGGAAGAGGAGTTGGATGACCAGAAAATTCAAGTGACTCCTCCAGGTACGTTTCCAAGTCTTCTGAAGCTTGCCCATGCTCTAGAATCATTCATGGGACCTCCTGAACCATAGTCTCCAGAAATGGGACCTGGGAAATGTGTATTTTTAAGGTTTCTTGGGTGAATTTGATGCACAGCCCCATAAGGCCACCAAATATGGTTGTGCAATGCACAGCATGCACAGCCCTACAAGGCAGATCTGCAGCCAGGGTTAAGTAAAAATTGTCTGCTATGGGACCATTTGCAAGTTACTGACATAAGGCCCTTGCTGCTGACACCTTTATTAAAAGCCATTGTTTGGCACCCTTGTATGTCTCATGTTGGGCTTATCTCCTTATAAACCAAACCAAGGGGTTTGTCGAGGCAGTGGGGTATAGTGGAAAGACCATGGATTTTGAAATCAGACTTGATTTTATCCTACACTTAAGTGTCTGAAAACTTGCTTGTTATCTTGTTAGCTGGCCAACTTAGTCAAATAATTTAACCTTTCTATTTATATTCCTTATTTGCAAATATGGGGATTCTGGAACACCTTTCCCTCCAGGTTGTTTTACATTTGAGATAAATTAATAAATATACAAGTTCTTAGCATAAAGTCATCAGCAGATGATAGTCTTCCTTCCCTAGCCATGCTCATAAAAATTAACTTCATAAAGTATCTCTTTGAATGTATTATAGTTTTAACTTTGGTCGTTAGAATGCTCAGGAACACTAAGTTATTAAGCTGTTGTCTCTCAGCTCCAATTCACCCTTTTATATGCTCTGTGCTGCTGGGGCTGAGACGTTTCAAGCCCATTTTCTCCTTTTGCAGCTGGCTATCAAATAGGCTGTGTCAGTCGTGGTGCTAGAGGAGGCCGGAGGACAGGGAGAAGTGAGGGACTTGCTCCTTCCTGTTTGCTCAGTGCTGTTGTCTGCGTTGCCAGCGAGGGCCCTTCACCTGGCAGCGGCACTTGGTTACAGCGTCTAGATTTTTTAGTCCTTCTAGAGCCCATCAGTAATTAAACCACGATCAGCCTGATAACCTGTAGCTGTTTCCTTTTAGTGGGGGGTAGAGGGAAAAAGGAGAGAGATTGAAGCTCAGAGGAGGGCCTGATGGAGCTGGGACTTAGCCCTCCAGAGAGGGGCACTGGACTGTGCAGCTGGCCCTGGATCTATCAGATAAGCTGGAGACTGGAACCACCTGCCGCAGCCAGGAGAAGGGTCCTTGCTGGGGTGTAAGGATAGAAACTGTAAATAGAGTGATGCCCCCCTTATCTGGTTTTGCTTTTCATGGTTTCAGTTACCTACAGTCAACAGTGGTCCAAAAATATCAAATGGAAAATTCCAGAAATAAACAATTTGTAAGTGTTATCCTGCCTGTGACATGAATCATTGCTTTGTTCAATGGCTTCACGCTATAAACGCTACCCTACCTGTTAGTCACTTAATAGTCTTGGTTATCCGATCAACTGTTGTGATATCGGCATCGCAGTGCTTGTGTTCAAGTCACCCTTATTTTACTTAATAATGGCCCAAAGCACAAGAGTACTGATGTTAGTAATTTGGATACTCCAAAGAGAAGCCATAAAGTGCCTCCTTTAAGTGAAAAGGTGAAAATTCTTAACTTTAAGGAAGAAAAAATATCATGTGCTGAGGTTGCTAAAATCTACAGCAAGAATGAATCTTCTATCCATGAAATTGTGCAGAAGGAAAAAGAAATTCATGTGGTTTTGCTGTTGTACCTCAGACTACAAAAGTTATGGCTATAGTGTGTACTTAAGATGGCAACAGATTACAGGTAAGTTCTTAAGATGGCAACATATTACCTTTGTGGGTGGAAGACACAGAAACGTGTTCCGACAGACAGCAATGAGACTCAGTGCTATCTGGGTTACAGGCATCCACTGGGGATCTTGGAACTATCCCCCAAGGATACACGGTCCACCGTGTACAGGAAGAGCACCCTACCTGCCTTGCAGTCCTCCAGAGACTCTAGGGGGAGTCTGCTACGCAGACACAAGAATCAGCTGGTAAAGGGGAAATGGGGCTTACAGGCCCCAGCACCAGTCACAGGACATAGCAGGGTGAATTTAGAGCTGGGAAACAAATGACTACAACACTTTAAGTTAAATCTCAGAAAATTTGTCTCCCTTCAGGCTTCCAGCTTGTCTTCCTACCCTATGCTGATGATAAACGGAAGGTGCCCTTTACTGAAAAAGTCATAGCAAACTCGGAGCAGGTGGACAAGATGAAGGCGATTGTTCAGAAGCTCCGCTTTAAATACAGGTGAGTACTCGTGTCAGTCTCAGGCTTTCTTCAAACTGCCTTCCGAGCAGAAGGTCTTACTGGAGATGCCAGTTAGGCTGAGACCAAGAGAACATGATTTTAATTAGTCAGCTGATAGATTATTACTTGTTATTGAGAGCTTTTTAAAAGCTGTATAGAGAATGGAAGCTCTTAATATATTGGAGACTCTGGGATTGTGCTGGTGGACCTGTTATGTTGTGTTTAAGAAGCAGATTATTTGGTTGAACAACTTCAAGAAAGTAACGGGGGAAAATTCTTAGTCTCACTGATTATGTGTGTTGTCACATGATGAGGGAAAGTAAATAAATCTAATGTAAGCCAGGTGCAGTTGCTCATCCCTATAGTCCTAGCCACTCAGGAACCTGAGCCAGGAGGATTGCTTGAGCCCAGAAGTTTGAGACTAGCCTGGGTGATGTAGTGAAAAAAAAAAATCTAATGTATGCTGGGTGCAGTGGCTCATACCTGTAATCTTAGCACTCTGGGAGGCCAAGGTGGGAGGATCACTTGAGGTCAGGAGTTTCAGACCAGCCTGAGCAAGAACAAGACCCTATCTCTACAAAATATAGAAAAAAAAAAAAAAATAGCCAGGCATGGCATCCACGTCTATAGTTCCCACTGCTCCAGAGGCTGAGGCAGGAGGATTGCTTGAGCCTGGGAGTTTGAGGCTGCAGGATACAGATGACACCACTGTATTCCAGCCTGGGTGACAGAGTGAGACTCTGTCTCAAGGGAAAAAAAATCTAATGTAAATTGTTACAAGCTTAAAAGAATGATTAAATAACACAAGTCATTGCCTCTCATATACCATCTCTCAGAGCAGGCATAATGTGACGCCAAACATCATCTTTTTTTTTTTTTTGAGACAGAGTCTCGCTTTGTTGCCCAGGCTAGAGTGAGTGCCGTGGCGTCAGCCTAGCTCACAGCAACCTCAAACTCCTGGGCTCAAGCGATCCTCCTGCCTCAGCCTCCCGAGTAGCTGGGACTACAGGCACGAGCCACCATGCCTGGCTGATTTATATATTATATATATTAGTTGGCCAATTAATTTCTTTCTATTTTTATGGTAGAGACGGGGTCTCGCTCAGGCTGGTTTTGAACTCCTGACCTTGAGCAATCCGCCCGCCTCGGCCTCCCAGAGTGCTAGGATTACAGGCGTGAGCCACCGCGCCCGGCCTAATCTTTTTTCATAAACTATCTTTTTATTTACTTTTTTTCATTTTTTAATAATTATTTAATAATTATTTTACTTTAAAACTTTATTCTTTTTTAAAAAATTAAAAATTTATCTATTTCAATAAACTCGCAGCCTTGGGAAGATACTTTTTTTGAGACAGGGTCTCTTTCAGTCACCCAGGCTAGAGTGCAGTAGCCTCATGACAGCTCACAGCAACCTCAAACTCCTGGGCTCAAGCAATCCTCCTGCCTCAGCCTCCTGAGTAGCTGGGACTAGAGGTGCATGCTACCATGCCCAGCTTAGCCCATTTAAAATAAACATTTTTTTAATTAATTAATTTTTTAAGAGAAAAGGTCTCAATCTACTGCCCAGGCTGGAGTGCAGTGGTGTGATCATAGCTCCCTGCAACCTCAAACTTCTGGGCCTTAAGCTGTCCTCCTACCTTAGCCTCCCAAGTAGCTGGAATTACAGGCATGAGCCACTGTATTAGTGCTCCTTTTATTAGAGTTTTTAGAGATGAGGTCTCACTATATTGCCCAGCCTGGCTATGAACTAACTACTGGGTTCAAGTGATCCTCCCAAGTAGCTAGGGACTATTGGTACAAGCCACCATGCCCAGCCCTTAGCCCATTTTAAAATAGGGTTATTAACTTTTTTGCCATTGAGTTGTAGGGGTTTTTCACATTCCATCTTTTGTCTGTAGGCTACTTTCCTATCTCTGGGCAGAATAATATCTTTCTCCCTCAGATATAACCTCCTGGTATACTCCTTTACCAGACAAATGGAAGCAAGAGTCTACCATATGCCAGACACTTCCAGATACAATTCCAACATTATCTCATTTATTCTTTTTTTTTTTTTTTTTTTGAGACAGAGTCTCACTTTGTTGCCCAGGCTAGAGTGAGTGCCGTGGCATCAGCCTAGCTCACAGCAACCTCAAACTCCTGGGCTCAAGCAACCCTGCTGCCTCAGCCTCCCAAGTAGCTGGGACTACAGACATACGCCACCATGCCTGGCCCATTTTTTCTATATATATTAGTTGTCCAATTAATTTCTTTCTATTTATAGTAGAGACGGGATCTCACTCTTGCTCAGGCTGGTTTTGAACTCCTGACCTTGAGCAATCCGCCTGCCTCAGCCTCCCAGAGTGCTAGGATTACAGGCGTGAGCCACCGTGCCTGGCCTCATTTATTCTTCATAACAACTCTGGAAGCTAGGTTTTGAGCCTATTTTACAGATGAAGAAACTAAGGCTTAGAGGAGTGAGGCAGCTTGCTCAGATTCACCCAGCTGGAAAGAGATGGAGCCAGGATTAAAACCCATAGCTCACTCTAGATTCATACTTTTTTTTTTTTTTTTTTGAGACAGAGTCTCACTTTAGATTCTTACTCTTTTTACACCCACACTGCTGCTGCTGCTGTGTACGGGAGAAAGCACACTGGGGGTGCAGCATCGCCCTGTCTCCCACCACCCCTCCTTCGTCTCTCCTCCATACTGGCATGACCGTGCCTCCTCCACTTCTGTCTCTGCCCACAGCTTCCAGTGACAGTCAGATGGGCAGGTTTGCTTTTAAATGGACTTGGATCTCTAGTATCAGACAATACATTGAAAACTGAAGAAAGAAAAGGTGATTTGAGACAAGATTCCCAACTGATTTACTTGGGGTGTTTTTCTCAGCTAAACTTGGGGCATCTCAGCTGGACTTATTTTTTTACATGCTTAAGTTTGCAAGTTTTAATTGAGTTGTGTTCTTATTACTGTTTCAACAGAAGTGACAGCTTTGAGAACCCGGTGCTGCAGCAGCACTTCAGGAACCTGGAGGCCTTGGCTCTGGACCTGATGGAGCCTGAACAAGCCGTCGACCTGACATGTAAGAAAGTTGTGACTGAGTCGAGAAGTCCTTTTCATGAGAGGCCTTCTCATGGATTTTACTCCGAAGCAGTATGTGCTGTATTTCTTGGCTCTCTCTAAAGACTTAACCTCTTTGTCCAAACCATCTCTGTTTTGAGAGATCTTCTAGACCAGCTTAAAGAGCCAGGGAACACATTTGGCTGGTTCTGCAGTGAGAGGAGGAAAGAGTGGCAGGCTCCTGAGACCTGCCTCTGAGTTAGGCCACCCTATGACATGTTGGTGAAAGTCGAAAAAATAATGTGCAACATTTATTGAGTGCTTACTGTGTGCCAGACGTTGTCATCCTATGTGTTGACTCATTTAATCTTCATAGCCATGAGGAAAGGGCTGTAATTGTCCCAATTTTATAGAGAAGGTTCCCCTGAGTGATTTGCCCTAAATTCTAAGTAGTAAGTGGTGGATCTATGTTGAAAACCACTGAATCCCACCTAGAGCCCTTGCTTTGAAACCACTCTTCTTACTGCCTCTCTGTCAGACTCTGTGTGCTCTGCCTGAGAAAAGCTACGTGGTTACCCAGCATCAAAGAGCTTTGTTTGGCCTCCCAGGCTGGGTTCTTTCAGCTTGCTGCTAGACCCCCTTCTTGTTATTCTCTTAAGTATTTCATAAGAAGAACACAGAAGTTTAGTGATAGAAGTAAATATCCACTGGGAAACAGATTAGATTTAATGAAGATTCTTGATAGAGGCTAAAAAGATCAGAACAATTAGATTGGCCTGCTTAGCTTCCAAGTTATTAATGATATCTTTTTTTTTTTTTTGGTTGAGACAATCTGACTCTGTTGCTCCAGGTAGAGAGCCACTGCAACAGATGCAGTGGCATCATCGTAGCTCAGTGCAACCTCAAACTCCTGGGCTCAGGTGATCCTCCTGCCTCAGCCTCCCGAGTAGCTGGGATTACAGGCACATGCCCCCATGCTCTGCTAATCTTTTTCTATTTTTTGTAGAGACAGTATCTTACTTTTGGCTAGGGCTGGTTTCGAACTCCTGACCTCAAGCAATCCTCCCACCGTGGCTCCCAGAGTGCTAGGATTATAGGAGTCAGCCACCGTGCTTAGCTTATGATCTCTTTCATATTAGACAAAATAGCCCCAGCATTGAAAGCATAAGAGTTACTGGACCAGTGTTACTCTGTCTAGCTGGGTCTGGAAGAAGAGAAAGCCTTGTGTTAAGCAGCCTGTCTCCCCCTCTGTGGACTTCATGCAAATTAGTAAGTCAGTTGTCTAGTGCCTAGCAAGGTGGTTAAGGACACAGGTTTTGGAAATGACGTTCCTTATTAAATCCAGTGACTTGGGGAATATTACCTAATCTTTCTGAGACTTGGTTCCTTTTTGGTAAAATGGGAATGGTGATATTGTTCTTACAAGGTATTAAGAAAATAGAGGCCCTGACACTCAGGAAGTGCTCAGAGCACAGTTGTTCGCAGTCCACAGCTACTTTCCACTTCCAGGGCCTCAGCCTCTTACAGTGTGGCTTCCTGGCCCTGTGATTTTATGGAAAGTCCTCTTTTCTCTTACTATCTCTGTTTTCAAAACAGTTTTGGCTGCCCTAGTCTTTCCCTCCCTCATCCCCGCCCGTGTTCCAGGGACCCTGTATAGTCCCTTCTTTCATGGCTTCTGTTTTTACTCATCTCTTTGCTCTGTAAGCCCATCTGTGGTCACAGATTGTTTGAATTCCCAGAATCTAGCCGTGTTTCCACTCTGCCACTTCCTGGCTTTTTCCTCCTTTGTAAAATGGGGAGACAAATTTACCTACTGTATAGATTGTTGGAAGGATTAAATAAAAATAAGTTTAAAGCATTTAAGTTTAAAGCATTTAAGCTGTAGTGTGACTACAGTAAATTTGTGACTCACCAGGCCACTCTTCTGTTTTGATTTTCTAGTGCCCAAGGTTGAAGCAATGAATAAAAGACTGGGATCTCTGGTGGATGAGTTTAAGGAACTTGTCTACCCACCAGATTACAATCCTGAGGGGAAAGTTACCAAACAAAAACAAGGTGAGGAGCTGAGTGTGGATGTTTTGTGGGTTATTTTAAGAGATAAGGTCTCTGTCACCTAGGCTGGAGTGCAGTGGCACTATCATAGCTCACTGTAGCCTCAAATTTCTGGGCTCAAGCAATCCTCCAGCCTCAATTTCTTGAATAGCTGGGCCTATAAGTGTGTACCACTATGTTCAGCTAATTTTTAAAAAAATTTTTTGTAGAGATGGGGTCTCTTGATGTTGCCTAGGCTGGTCTCAAATTCCCGGCCTCAAGTGTGATTCTCCCATCAGTGGGTTATTTTATTTTATTTATTTTTTTATTTTTTGAGACAGAGTCTCACTTTGTTGCCCAGGCTAGAGTGCCGTGGCATCAGCCTAGCTCACAGCAACCTCAATCTCCTGGGCTCAAGCAATCCTGCTGCCTCAGCCTCCCGAGTAGCTGGGACTACAGGCATGCACCGCCATGCCCGGCTAATTTTTTCTATATATATTAGTTGGCCAATTAATTTATTTCTATTTATAGTAGAGACGGGGTCTCACTCTTGCTCAGGCTGGTTTTGAACTCCTGACCTTGAGCAATCCACCTGCCTCGGCCTCTCGGAGTGCTAGGATTACAGGTGTGAGCCACCACGCCCGGCCTCAGTGGGTTATTTTAAAAAGTTGTCTTTATGGTCTTATCATAGAGGATAATGTCCTTTCAGAAATATCTATTCAAACATACATATTTATACATACCAACATATATACTTCAGCATAAGTGGAACAATATTCATTCTTTTCTAGTCTGCTGTTTTGTTACTCAGCTATATATGTTAGACAGTTACTTATATCAACTTAAGTATCTACCTCATTTTAAAAAGTCTACAGAGCACTTCACTAGAGAGATGTACCCGTTTATTTGACCAGACCTGTATTGATGGCTGTGCTACAGGGAGCATGAGCAACCACTGTAGATCCACAGGGGAAATTCTTAGCAGTGGAGTTACTGGGTCAAGGTGTAGACATTTACAATTCTGGTAAGAATTGCCTCCCAAAATAGTGATACATTTCCCCCTATCCAAGAAGGGGATAAACGTAAACCTGTACAGCATGTTACTGTTCTAAATATTGTAGGCCTGGGTTTTATATACTATTTTTTTAAATTTCCACAAAAATGACAGAGGGAAAATTATGTCCTATTTTGATTTGCAATTCTCCAGTTATGAGTGAGATGTAGTTTTTTTTTTTTTTTTTGAGACAGTCTATCTCACTATATTGCCCAGGCTGTACTCAAACTCCTGGGCTCAGGTGATCCTCCTGCCTCAGCCTCCCGAGTAGCTGAGACTACAGGCATGCACCACCATGCCCGGCTAATTTTTTCTATATGTTTTAGTTGGCCCATTAATTTCTTTCTATTTATAGTAGAGACGGGGTCTCGCTCTTGCTCAGGCTGGTTTTGAACTCCTGACCTCGAGCAATCCACCTGCCTTGGCCTCCCAGAGTGCTAGGATTACAGGCATGAGCCACCTCGCCTGGCCAGAGATGTAGTTTTATTGGACATTTTTTTTTCTTTCTGTGCACTACCTGTTCCTAATTGAGGAAGCATTGCTGAGAGGTTAGGTTGGTGGCCAAGTCGCTTTCTCCTTCTGCATCAGAAGGGATGGCTGTAGTGTCCTGGTAAACTGCTGTAAGACCTCCACACACTACACTTAAATGAAGCTGCCTTTTCCAAGACACCTGTCTTTTCCATGTAGTTCTAGCTAGGCATCACAGCTTTATGGAAAATGATTAACTGCAGCCCAGATCATCTGATCATATGCCCCATGCTGTGTAGCTGGGATGCCACTGGTAGCATTTCCAGTCACTTCCTCCTGACCTTTTCCCCCAGGTGGTGAAGGTTCTGGAAGCAAAAGGCCCAAGGTGGAGTTTTCTGAAGAGGAGCTGAAGGCCCACATCCGCAAGGGCACACTGGGCAAGTTCACTGTGCCTGTGCTGAAGGAGGCCTGCAGGGTGTATGGGCTGAAGGGCGGGATGAAGAAGCAGGAGCTGTTGGATGTACTCACCAAGCACTTCCAGAACTGACCGGAGACCATACATCCAGCCATCCTTCCACACTGCAGCCAGGCTGACTGGTTTTGTTCTTCTTAGCAAGTTAAAAAGTTTCTCCTGAGCTAGGAGTCTTCTTGACAGAAGCCAAGGGACTTTACATTTATGAGACTTCCTGTTGCCATGGAGGCCATGTAGTCCTCCCACTTTGCTGTGCCTTATGCTACTGCCAATTAAAAAGCCCTAACTTTGTACTATACACTGTTTTTTTTTATTTTTTTGAGACATAGTCTCACTCTGTCACCTGGGCTAGAGTGCCATGGCATCAGCCTAGCTCACAGCAACCTCAAAGTCCTGGGTTCAAGCGATACTTCTGCCTCAGCTTCCCAAATAGCTGGGACTACATACAGGTGTGCACAACTCTTGACTAATTCTTCCATTTTTAGTAGAGATGGGGTCTCGCTCTTGCTTAGGCTGGTCTTAAACTCCTTACCTGAAGCAATCCTCCTGCCTCAGCCTGCCAGAGTGCTAAGATTGTAAGTGTTGAGTCACCACACCTGGTTCTGTAAGTTATTCTTTAGTGTGGAGGAGGAGGGTTTGTCTGCCTTGCATCCAAAGCTCACTGGCCATTGGCTATTAGTATAATTTTCTGATTGGACACACACATCATCACAATGGAAACAAAACATACCAGTGGGGGTGGGTGAAAGCTTGACAATTAAAGATAAGTGAACATAACTTCAGGAATGACAAGCCTAGTAGGATTGTTTTCTCCCTATCCGCTGGCCTCCTACCTACTTTCCTTTAAACATGTCATGTTAAGGTCTAAAAATCAGATTTCAGAAGCAGTAAATTTAAGGTTCTCCAAAATAAAATTTTGCTTGTTTTAGAGACAAGGTCTCCTCTGTTGCCCAGGTTGGAGTGCAATGGTGCAGTCATAGCTCACTGTACCCTTGAACTCCTGGGCTCAAGTGATCCATCCCAGACTCTTGAATAGCTGAGGCTAAAGGTGTGCACTACCCCCCAGCTAATTTTTAAATTTTCTACAGATGGGCTCACTATATTGCCCAGGCTGTTCTTGAACTCCTGGCATCAAGTGGTCCTCCAGCCTCTGCCTCCCCAAAGTGCTATGATTACAGGCATGTGCCACTGTGTGCAGCCCTAAATAAATCGTTTACACAAATTTTATAACCAACTGCTTAAGTAGCTGGATAGGGATAACTAGATTTCCTCCTTGCATGTCTGGTCTCAGGAATTATTCATTCTACACTTTTGGAGCATCTATGCGCTGGGGCACCACACAAATTCCTGCTACCTAATAATTGGAAAACAATCTCAGATATTAGTTATGTTCAAGGTAAATAAAAAAAAGACTGTTACAGAGCTAGGGGGGAAAGGAAACACTCTAAAGTGATGTTTGAATTAAGACTAGAATGACTGCTGAGTGCAAAGGATTTGAGAAAAAGGGGGGGGGGTCTGGTGTGTTAAAGAAACAAAATATGAGGCCCGGCGCGGTGGCTCATGCCTGTAATTCTAGCTCTCTGGGAGGCCGAGGCGGGCGGATTGCTCAAGGTCAGGAGTTCAAAACCAGCCTGAGCAAGAGCAAGACCCCGTCTCTACTATAAATAGAAAGAGAATTTTGGGCAACTGATATATGTATATAAAAAATTAGCCGGCATGGTGGCGGCTGCCTGTAGTCCAGCTACTCGGAGGCTGAGGCAAGAGGAGTCTCTCGAGCCCAGGGAGTTTGAGGTTGCTGTGAGCTAGGCTGAGCGCCACGGCATCACTCTAGCCTGGACAACAAAGCGAGACTCTGTCTCAAAAAAAAAAAAAAAGAGAAACAAAATATGGAACACTCAGCAAAGATGGAACTTCCAGGCCCTAGTTTCCATTTAGATGGAGGTTGGATTTCTGGATCTCCCCTTTCTCTTAAATTATTTCAATCTTTTGGATTATGATTAGAAAAATACATACACAAGAAATAAAGTACAGTCATACATAACCAAATGGGGATACATCCTGAAAACTGTGCTGTTAGGCATTCTGCCATCATGTGAACATCAGTGTATCTAGATAGTTTAGCCTACTATACACCCAGGCTATGTGGTGTAGCCTGTTGCTCCTCAGCTACAAACCTGTACAGCATGTTACTGACTGAATATTGTAGGCCACTGTAATACAGTGGTATTTGTGTATTTAAACATACAGTAAAAACACATTATTGCACTCTAGGAGGCCGAGGCGGGTGGATTGCTCAAGGTCAGGAGTTTGAGACCAGCCTGAGCAAGAGTGAGACCCCGTTTCTACTATAAATAGAAATAAATTAATTGGCCAACTGATATATATAGAAAAAATTAGCCAGGCATGGTGGCACATGCCTGTAGTCCCAGCTACTTGGGAGGCTGAGGCAGGAGGATTGCTTGAGCCTAGGAGTTTGAGGTTGCTGTGAGCTAGGCTGACGCCACGGCACTCTAGCCTGGGCAACACAGTGAGACTCTGTCTCAAAAAAAAAAAACAAAAAACCAACACATTATTATAACCTCACGGGACCATAATATACATGATCTGTTGGTGACTGAAACGTTATGAACACATGACTATATGAAAAAGAAAGCAAGCACTACCTGAAACTCCCCCTCCAAAAATAATTATAAAACTGCTTTAGGGGTGGTGGTGGTGTCAATACTGGAGTGAGGCAGAGAAATGACTAGCCCAGTAGGCATAGAACTGGTTGGTTCCCAGGTTCCCTCAAGTTGCTTCCTGCTGGAGCAAAGGGTGCCTTGCCCTAAGCTGGCCACGAAGAAATCTATCCTAATTTGCTCATTCTTTGCCCCTTGGAAGATTTCTCAAGCTGAGGTATTATGCTGTCATGGGACTTAGCCTTAGATATAAAAAATAAAAGAGGTAGGTGAGGCAGCAGTGGCCCCAGTCACCAGTACCAATCCTACATGTGCCAAGGGCTACCAGGAACCCTAATTCTGCAATAGAATCTCTCAACTAGGGGTGATTTTACCTTCAGGGAACATTTGGGGGTGAGTTACTACTACCACTTAGTGAGTAGAGGCTGCTAAAAATCCTACAGTACACAAGGAAGCCCCCTACAAATGAACCAGCCCAAAATGTCAATAGTGCCAAGGCTGAGAAAGCCTGTTTTAAAGTGATAGCAGCATTCCAATGATTAAGTCTGTACAAGCTATTGTAAACTGCCAAATCAGAAACTACTTGGTACGAGGTGATGGCTTTTCCATGACGTCTTAGTGAAAAAGATTTAGAAGCTATAACCACACTAGTAATGCTAATCATTTCTTCATTCAAACATCAGCTAAGAATATCCACTAAGCTAAATATTAGCTTACTATTCATTAAGAATCAGGCACTGCTGCACTCTTTCATTAAATTAGAATATGAATATATTTCTTTATTAGGATGCTCACAAAAATGAAGGACATAGTTGCACTCTTCTCACGTGATAAAGAATATATCTGACCCAACTGTGGTAGGCGACAGGAGTAAGGGGGTCTCAGAACTGGGCCAAGTGTCCACTGAAGAAATCCTCATTCCCCAAAGAGAAGTTGTTTCCTTAGACTCCATTATCTCTGTTGTAGCTACCAGCTAGGTCTGCATGATCTTCCTAGAATCCTTCGTTCCAGCATCACATGATGCTCTCTGCCCTTGACACTCCTGACTCTTTCAAGACCCAGGTCAAGCACCCCACGTCTCACTCACCCAGGCCACCTCTAGAATCTTGCAGCACATCTCTTTGGTATGTTGCTGCCCTGCCACCCTCAGGGGTACAGCTGGGGGTCAGGGAGGGAAAGGACAAAACATCATTATTACCAAAAGCAAACAGCAGGAGTACATTTGTAAATGACACTTGGACATAAGCCTAACCTCACAGAACACATGCTTCCTCTCCAAGTGATACACAATCCCCTCAAGAGCAAAGAAAACCCCTTGATCATTTTAACACACATGAATGATTCTGTATGTCAGGCATAAGGGGTACAAAATGGATAGTGTTTACTTGAATCATATCCTGCACAGAGTAGGAAGCTAGCAGATGAGAGCTGGAACCATCTCTATCCTGGCTCCATCAGGTTTCTCCGGGCTCTTCCTGCCTTTGAATGGTGCCACCACTCTGCTTCCATCTGTTCAGAGCATCAGTTCATTTTTCAAAAGGGAGGATAAAAAGATGAAGGATGGTAGAGAGAATGTAGAAGGGCTTAGGAGGGGGAAAACCACCCTGTAAAACAGAACAAAAACAATACAAAACTCCAGAAACCAAAATGTAGTACTATAATATTTTATAACAATAGAAAGTAGCTGAAAATACTACATGCTAACACAGACAATATGATATACACAATCTCAGGGGGAGGAGTCAACAGGGAGAATGTGGCAGAGGCCACAGGTTTAGACTAAGAGCCTTTCGATGGACTGCTGAATGGACTGGATCTGCTGCTTCAGCTGTGAGCCTTCTTTGATCGTGACAGAACAAGCAATGACAGGCCTGGAGACCCCACAGGCCCGTCCCAGGGCCTGCTTGGAGCGCACAAACACGTAGGGCACATTCTTGTCTTCACACAGCAGTGGGAGGTGCAGGATGATCTCCAGCGGCTCAGCATCTGCAGCCATCACAATGAACTCAGAGATGCCCCTGTTGAGGGTTTTGGTGGCTGTGGAGACAAGGACACAAGGCCAACAGGTAATGTTGGGCATGGGTAGGACAGCCACAAAAAAGCAATTTCTAAGCCGGGCGCGGTGGCTCACGCCTGTAATCCTAGCACTCTGGGAGGCTGAGGCGGGCGGATTGCTCGAGGTCAGGAGTTCGAAACCAGCCTGAGCAAGAGCGAGACCCCGTCTCTACTATAAATAGAAAGAAATTAATTGGCCAACTAATATATATATATATAAAATTAGCTGGGCATGGTGGCGCATGCCTGTAGTCCCAGCTACTCGGGAGGCTGAGGCAGAAGGATTGCTTGAGCCCAGGAGATTGAGGTTGCTGTGAGCTAGGCTGACGCCATGGCACTCACTCTAGCCTGGTCAATAAGCGAGACTCTAAAAAAAAAAAAAAAAAAAAAAGCAATTTCTAAGGAAGAGACTAAGAGGTGAAAGAAAACTGGGTAAAACACTTAGGCACAAGCAATTCTCTGTCCTGAGCGGCCCTGGGACATGATAAGGGATACAAACACCAACTAGTTATCAGCCATGTCCCTTTCTCAAACTGTACATTAAACTCATCACTTCTCTCTTCAGAACACATCCTGAATCTGACCACTTCTTTCCCCTCCCCTCTGCTACACTTGTCTAAGTCACCATTATTTCTTGCCCAGTCAACTGCAACAGCTTCCATACAAGCCCCTGTGAGCATGAAGTAGTGCAGTGTAGCACTTGTCAAGCTATCTGTGATCAAGGATCAGGGTTTTACTATCCTAATCTGTCACAGTCAATATTCCTGGAAAGTTCACACCACATGTGACCCACCATGCAAATTTAATAATACTCTACAGCATTGTTTCATATGCTTACTCCTGGTTGCTAGTCTCTAGCACATGTACCTGGCACACAGCAGGCAATTAATAAATAGGGGAAGAATACTTGAAACTGAGGCAGAGGCAAAAAAAAAAATTGATGCCCCTCCATCCCTGAACTCCTAGTAAGCACATTCTGAAGTAGATGAGATTGAACATCTCCATTCAAGGAATGTCTGTCCTGGACACCTCTGAGCCTAACACAGTGCAAGGTATAGCAAAAGAAAATAAAATGGTCCTGTCTCTGAGTCTTCATCTACCTACCGAATAAGAACTCATGTCAAATGAGAGGAGAGACCTCCCAGGAGAGCTGCTGGGCCCTCCCGCTACTGGCCACTGCCATACAAGGCCCTGTAGCCACTGTAGTCTGAAGAGCAGGGCTGAAAAAAGCATCAAAATGACAGAGACACATAGAGACTTTTCTTTATCTTCCTTCAGCAACACAGGTAGAAGTGATTCTAATGGCTGCCCTAAATTTCAAATTTAACAAAATCCCTGATGCTTCCATTAATATCTTCAAAGACAAAACAACTCTCCCACAGCAAACTACCTGGCATCTGTTAAAACAGAGTATTCTATACTAATACTATTACTGGGCAGAAGTATCACAGCATATATAATTATTCTACTAAAAAAGTGCTTGCTTAAAAAAAACCAAGAGGAATGTTTCTGGAAACCAAATGAAATTCATGAATGTTAAGTATCCATGGGATCAGAGATACGAAAAAGCATTAATATCTCTTTTCCTTCTGATGGTTCTAGGGAGATCACAAAGCTAATACATAAAGTCTCTACAACTGCTTTCAAATGGATCAGCAAAAATAAATAAAATGCACTTATGTATACAGAAAGAAGTAAATGTAGTAAAATGTTAACAATTGGGTGGTTAACAATAAAAAAATTCTTATCTCAGTCTTTAGCATCTACTGTCAAAATGCTGCTCTTAGGTCCTCCCATTGGTCACAGTCAAGAGTATCTAGCCATCCATCCAAACTGGAAGTACAGACCAGAGGCCCCAGACAGAGACAGTGCCCTAAATACCCCTGCTCCCAGCACCTTGTGGCTGCCTACCCTCATTGGCTCCTTTCCGAAGCTGCTTGTAGTTACATGACTGCTGAATGAGGTCCAACAGTTTCTTGGTGAGGTGGGCATCAGCAAGGGGATAGGCCTTTGGATTTACATCAGCCTCAGTCTGTGGGGGGAAATAAAAGCATCAGTCAAACCGAACCAGAAGTTGCCCTAGACATGTCACAAAATACTATCAACAACTGAGACACAGAGGACAGTTTCTCTGCTGCCCCACCCCAACACACTCAACACAGCGTAATTAATGATGGCATGTCCACTCACAGCTTAGAAAAATGGAAATACACTATTACCACTAAAAGAGAAAGTTAGCAATTATATAGTCTAGTAATGTGCATTAAAGCTTATGTACTTCTGTCTCTCTTTAGCCTAATGTTGGATAATATTACAGCAAATGGGGCTCCCATGGCTCAGCATCTGAGTCACATGGGGTAATCTTTAAATTTGGACATTCATATTCCACCCCAAATTCACTGAGTCAAAATTAAGGCATAATTTACAGTAAATGTAGCACGAGTTCTCTCTCCATTCCCCATGTAAATCTCCTTCTGTCCTCAGTGAGACTCCTGGTTTCCAACACATCACAATATTTTCTCACTTATTCTACCCTACAATACACACAAAATGGTTCCAGAACTGCTATACCAACACTACCTCTACCAATAAACTCATTGAGGTCAAAATTTCTTTTTGTATAAGTACTTAGGTATATCTCACCAAAGCTACCTTGTTAGTGTACTACGTTCAAAAGTTACCAAAGAAAAAAAAATCTGACCAAGCCTTTGCTTCTAATACCAGATAACCACATCAAACGACCCAGGTTGGGAGCGAATTAAGTGGGTGGGCTGGCCCATTCCATTCCTTCCACCTCATTCCCACCTTTCCAGTGAACCATTTTCATTAATGTCTCATCTGTTTTTCCTGTCTTTTAAAGCAAACACACATTTATATATAAGGATATATTTATGTCATAAGTCCGGTGCAGCCTCCACGTTGCCACTGTGTTCACCGAACGAATCCTGAGTAGTTCGCCAGCGCTGTCCTGGACTAACATTGGGTTCAGAGGCTGGACAACTCAGGCGGGGTGGCAGTTCTCAGTGGTCACGAGTGATGGCCCAGGAGGAACACTAACCATAGTATCTGCCTCCGCCGTCTCTTGCTGGACACCATGAGAGCACAGCGCACGTTCGTGAGGATGGTCAGTGGCACCACACCTCAGTTACACAGAAACGAGCCACCCCTAGGGAGCAGGAATCGACACAGGTGTGTAGTCAGCGGAAGCCAAGGGACATCAAGGGCTAGCTTGTGCCAGGATTCCCTGTCTTTTCCCTAACGCATCACGTTAGGTGAACCTGTCATAGTCCCTGGATGATTGAGAGAATGAGATGAAAGCTGGAGGAGTTCCTTGAAGAAGTAGTGGAAGAAAGGCCTCCATACTATTTGTTTGCTTTTCTCCCTACATGTTAGAATCAGCTTCTCAAGGTCCACACAAAAGCCGGTAGGGACTGTTTGATTTATAGACAGGCCCGTGCTCTGTTGCCCAGGCTGGAGTGCAGTGTCGTACTCATGGCTCACTGCAACCTCGAACTCCTGGGCTCAAGCACCTCCACCTCACGTTCCGGAGGAGCTGGGACTACAGGTGTGCAGCATCATATATCCGGCTCATTTTTTTCTTTTTTGTAGAGATGGTGGTCATGCTAATGTCGCCCAGGCTGGTCACAAACTCCTGGCCAATTTTTCACAGCTTTACTAATATGAAACACATTTTGCATTCCTAAGATAAAACCAATTTAAGATTTTCTTAGGCTGGGTGCGGTGGCTCATGCCTGTAATCCTAGCACTCTGGGAGGCTGAGGCGGGCAGATTGCTCAAGGTCAGGAGTTCAAAACCAGCCTGAGCAAGAGACTATAAATAGAAAGAAATTAATTGGCCAACTAATATATATAGAAAAAATTAGCCGGGCATGGTGGCACATGCCTGTTGTCCCAGCTACTCGGGAGGCTGAGGCAGCAGGATTGCTTGAGCCCAGGAGTTTGAGGTTGCTGTGAGCTAGGCTGACACCACAGCACTCACTCTAGCCTGGGCAACAAAGCTCAAAAAAAAAAAAAAAAAGATTTTCTTTTTTTGTTAGCTAATGGATATAAGGTTTCTTTTGGGGATCGAAAAAATCCTCTAAAATTAGAGACAGTGATGGTCGCACAACTATGTAAATAGATGAAAAACTAGAGTTACACACTTTAAACAGATGAATTTTATAGTATATAAATCATTTCAATAAAGCAATTTTTAAAAACTAGGCCTGGTTTTTTCATCTTAAAAAACTTTAATTTCTTCATTATTCAGTTTTTCTATATCTATCTACCTGGTTTTCACACATATTTTTCAGGCATTTGTTCATTTCATTTAAGTTTCTATATTTATAGGAATAAATTGTTCATAATATCCTTGCTTTCTATGTCTACAGATTACAATCTCTTTCATGTCTGTTATTCCTTACATTTTTTTCTCTTTATTTTTAAATCTTATTGGAGGGGACTTTTCAAAGAAGATCGTCATCTTCTAATTTTGTCCATACTCTGATAGGACCTATTTTCTACTTCAGTAATTTTTGAGGTTTTTTTCCCCCTTTCTTTTACTTTCTTTGGAGTTATTTTGTCCTTGTGGTTTTTTCCTACCTTCTTAGCCTCCTTTCCCCTAGCATAAGCATTTGATGCTTTTGCTGTATCCTACACGCTCTGGTATGTGATATTTTCATTATTGTTCAGTTCTGTTTTAGAATTTCTATAATTTTAAAATTTGACCCAGCTGGGTGTGGTGGCTCATGCCTGTAATGCCAGCACTCTGGGAGGCTGAGGTGAGAGGACTGCTTGAGGTCAGGAGTTCAAGACCAGTATGGGCAACACAGCAAGACCCCATTTCTACAAAAATATTTTTAATAAATAGCCAGGTGCAGTGGTACACACCTGTAGTCCCAGCTTCTAAGGAGGTTGAGGCAGAAGGATCCCTTGAGCCCAGGCGTTTGAGGTTGTAGTGAGCTATGATGACTTCACTGCACTCTAGCCTGGGCAACAAAGCCTGTCTCAAAACAAAAAAACCCAAAAAACTGACCTATAGAGTTATTTACATTTTCATTGCAAAATGCTTTATTACCAATCTTTAGCTTATTTGTATTTTGGTTGGGAGAAAATGGTCTATAATATTATTATTAATTTTTGAGACAGAATCTTGCTTTGTTGGCCAGGCTAGAGTGCCGTGGCGTCAGCCTAGCTCACAGCAACCTCAACCTTAAAGTCTTGGGTTCAAGCAATCCTCCTACCTCAGCCTCCCAAGTATCTGGGACTACAGGTGCTTGCTACCAGGCCCAGGTAATTTTTTTCTATTTTTAGTAGAGACGGGGGTCTTGCTCTTGCTCACGTTGGTCTCGAACTCCTGACCTCAAGTGATCCTCCCGCCTCAGCCTCCCAGAGTGCTAGGATTATAGGCGTGAGCCACCTCACCTGGTCTGTAATATTATCAATCTTTTCTCCTTTATTTCCATACTGATGTTTTGGCTTCATGATCTATCAATCATATATCTTTAAAAACTGCTATATATAATTGCATAATTGTCTATTCCGTCTTGTAATTATGCCATTTTCATTTTATTTATACTTAATTTTTTGGCCACCCTCTGTCTTTTCTGATGTCTTTTGCCTTCAAATCTATTTCTTTTTTTTTTTTTGAGACAGAGTCTCACTTTGTTGTCCAGGCTAGAGTGAGTGCCGTGGCGTCAGCCTAGCTCACAGCAACCTCAAACTCCTGGGCTCGAGTGATCCTTCTGCCTCAGCCTCCCGAGTAGCTGGGACTACAGGCATGCGCCACCATGCCCGGCTAATTTTTTCTATATATATCAGTTGGCCAATTAATTTCTTTCTATTTATAGTAGAGACGGGGTCTCGCTCTTGCTCAGGCTGGTTTTGAACTCCTGACCTTGAGCAATCCGCCCGCCTCGGCCTCCCAAGAGCTAGGATTACAGGCGTGAGCCACAGCGCCCGGCCTCTTCAAATCTATTTCTTTCTGATGTTTCTACAGGCCACACTATACCTTTTTAATTAGCATATCTTTTCCATTTTTAAAAACTTCAATCTGTCATTTAATTGGAGCACTTAGTCCCTTTATATATTTAAGTATTGATATATTGGGTCAAATCTTCCTTCTTTCGTCCCACCAGTTCTGTTTCTTTTTGTTTCTTCCCTTTCTTTGGATTTATTATTACTATTCTTACTATTTCTCCCTCTATTGGTTTGGAGTTTATTCTTTTTACTTTTTTTTTTTTTTTAAGATAATGGGCAGGATGAAATGGAGTTTATTCTTTTATCTTTATATTCTCATATATTTATACTTTTGGTGGCTACCTGAAGAATCACATCACAATAAATTAAGGTGCCCTTAATTTATCAAAATCTAATGCTCATCTGGCCAGGCACAGTGGCTAATGCCTGTAATCCTAGCACTTTGGGAGGCTGAGGCAAGATCGCTTGAACCCAGGAGTTAGAGGCTTCAGTGAGCTATGATCACACTATAGCTGGGGCAACAGAGCAAGAGAAGAAATACAATGTTCCCAACATAAACAAAAGATAAAAGTTAGAGATGATGGATATCACAATTGCCCTAATTTGATCACTACACATTGTATACATGTATCAAAATATCATCTGTATCCCCAAAATATGTACTATTACCGATACATCAATTAAAAAAACCTTTAAAATGCCAGGTATTTCCACTGTTTCCAACAACCTGTTTGGAAACAAAGATTCTGAACTCTCAATAAACATTAAATACATAAAAAGGGAAGACTTCAGGCATCTGAACCATTAAAGAGGAGTCATCTTATTGTTTTAGTATCAGTCAGCTAAAAAGTTAGACTCAATTCTAAAACAAAACTATTAGCTTATAAACACTACTTGAAACTTCTTTGCTTAGGGTATATCTATTCACCTTTTAATTTCTTCAAGGGTTAATTAAATGAATGAATATTCACACCACCAGCCAACTTAAATCTCTTGCTTATTCAGTTTGGTTTTCCTTGTACACCAAACAGCCCAAATTTGCAAGGTTTTGACTTAACAACAATTACAACGTCCTCACTTATTCATACCAAGCATTAGGACTAGGTGGTTTTTTTTTTTTATTTTGGCATATTATGGGGGTACAGATTTTAAGGTTTCAATAAATGCTCTATCCCCCCTCCCCCCACAAGTCTGTTTCCAGCATGACCATCCCCAGATAGTGCACATCTCACTCATGTATGTATATACCCGCCCCCCTCCCCCCTGCCCAATACCCTATTACTGTAGTACCTATGTGTCCACTTAGGTGCTGCTCAGTTAAGGGACTAGGTGTTTAACATGCATTATCATCCCCATTTTACAGCTGAAGAAAACCGCTGCAAAGTTCAACCTGAGACCATCCGATTCCGAAAGTTTCTAAGCAACTGCGTTAAGACGAGCACCGGTTTAGAAGCTTCAAATTCTAGGCTCTGTCACATACTAGCTTTAAAAGTGGTGGTGCGTGGGGGGCTGAGAGTGAATGACAGGGGGAAGGTATTCCCGCCAGGATCCAAGCTCTGTTGGAAGGATTAAACCTCACTATGGAAGTTAAAGTGCTTTACAAACTCTTCCCTCCTTACCAAGTGCCAACCCAAACTAGCTACACCAGGCCACACGATTTGGAACTTTCCCTAGATAATAAAAGTCGGAGTTCACCAAGTCTTTAGAGAAGCCGCACGTGGTCCTACCAAGACTTTTGATTTTTGAGGCCACCACCTCGCAAGAGAAGCCTTTCCTGAGCTCCAGGGCGAGAGTTGGGGTCACTTCCCATCCCCCAAACCCTCAAACGCCAAAGGCTCCTTTAAGCCCCTGGCACGTGTAACTCGAGGCAGGTACTAGCCGCAGACCTAGGCAGATCTCCTCCCGAATCCTAGCAATGGGGGTGGACTGAGAAGAGCCAAATCCCAGGGCTTCTGGACAACCTCTAGATATCGTAAAAAATAAAACATATCGTAAAAAATAAAACAGAAAAAAAAAAGGATGGAGCCAGGTTCTTTCACCCAACTTTTTACTCTTTCCCACGTGGATTGGTCTGTTTCTCTTAGGCTCACCGGAGGCCTTCCGCCACGCAAAGAGACTGATGCAAAGTACCTCCGACCACAGCAGCTGGGACCCTGAAGCTTCCTGCGTTCTAACCTCCTGCCGGGTTGTTGGGACCCTGCAGCCGCCCAAGTTCTAACTCAGGGCCGGGCAGTTAAGACCCAGCGCCAGGGGAAAAGATGGCGCGGGTTCTAGCCTCCACCGAGCTAGCGAGCGAACAGAACCCTGAGCCTCCCGTTTCCCAGTCCTTTGGCCAAGCGCCCGCACTTACCATGGCTGCGGTTCCGCAGGCTCGTCACTCCTCAAGGAGCGCAGCCGGGTTTAGAGTACGCTCGGCTCCGCGGGAGAGCCACACTGAAGGAGCGGAAATGAGAGCCCCGCGCGGCAGGAAACGGAAGTGACGTAACACGAGTGGGCGGACCTCGCCACCTAGGGGCCACTGGTGGAGCGGCAGCCTCAGTGTGAGCGTGGGAACGTTCTTTTGCTGTTCTTACTAGTTTTCTACTATAGATTGTCGGCAGAAACAATGAGTTAAGCATTTAAAAAGCAACCCACCAAAACAAAGAGTTTCAATGGTGTCACCATTTTATTGCCAGTTCAATTTTGAGCACATTCTTGTGCTTTCAAAATCGTCTTTCTGATCCCACACTGGTGAGGTTAAGATAATTATAGGTAATTCTAAATGCTTTCCTGCATCTTCGGATATCCTTTGTCAAAGTTTCTGGTGGAGAATGTAGTTAGAATCCATTGAGTAGGGAATTCAGAAGCAAGAGCAGGTTTGGGGGTGTGGGAGTGGAGCTTCTGTCAGGTTGAGGTTGGAGATACCTTTGGACGCCCACTTTCTTCTGGCCAGCATTCTGCTCTTTTTTCAGTGCTACTCCAAATCTCCCCTATTTATGGCTACACTCATGCCTTACCACCTCCAAGAGTTCTTTTTGATCCTCATGGCCCTACCTTACCTCTCTCCAACATGATGCCATGTACATCTTGGGACCATTTGGATTTAGCCAAAACTAGAGCATTTGAGGGCTAGTTTCAGTTAATTCCTTTGGAAACCAGTTGAGACCTGGGAAGACTCTTAGGAATCATATAACATAACCCTTTAATTTTACAGATAAGAAAACTGAGGTCCAGAGAAGGGAAGCTGCTTGCCCATGGTCACAGAATAAGAGAGTGTTAGAGCCAGAACTGACCCTGGAATTTTTGGCTACCTACCTGGGTTATTTCCACCACATCTAGTTGCTGTGCCTGAGATATGTTGGGGCACTGGGCAATGGGAAAGGTTTGTACTGGCTCCAAGATTGAACATTTGCTACATCAGAGATCCCCCAATCAGACTTTACCTTATGTGAATCTAATATGACTTGTCAGAGACTGATGACTCCCCTCCAAGTCCAGTAGAACCTGTCACGTGGACTGTTTTTCACTTCTGTTGGATTCTGTTTCTTGTCCCCATATTAACTGATCCTATCAGTCACCACTGTTGGGAAATGAAACCTTATTATTCCAATTTACAGTGATAGATGTGTCCTTATGGTTTGTTGCTTAGATGTCCTTTATACCAATTTATCATTATCATTTGGCCTACCTGACATCTTGTACCAACATATCCCAGACTTCCTTGGTAACAACTGATGGGGACATGATGTTTTTATGACCATAAGTAATAAGGCAGTTCACTTTACCCATTTGTCTAATTAATTGTTTCTTAACTATATAATAATTTCCATGTTCTTTCAGAATCAGTCCATCTTTTTGTTATCTTGCTATTTCCCTTACTAGTAAATTAATAAATGTTGAAATATGCTCAGAATTAATTTGCTTTAAAATCTTACCACATTCATTTATTTAAAACCCCAAATCCGGCTGGGCGTGGTGGCTCATGCCTGTAATCCTAACACTCTGGGAGGCCAAGGTGGGTGGATTGCTCGAGGTCAGGAGTTCGAAACCAGCCTGAGCGAGACCCCGACTCTACTAAAAATAGAAAGAAATTAATTGACCAACTAAAAATACATATACAAAAAATTAGCCAGGGCCTGGCGCAGTGGCTCACGCCTGTAATCCTAGCACTCTGGGAGGCTGAGGCAGGAGGATTGCTCAAGGTCAAGTGTTAAAACCTGAGCAAGAGTGAGACCCCGTCTCTACTAAAAAAAAAATACAAAGAAATTAATTGGCCAACTAATATATATAGAAAAAAAATTAGCCGGCATGGTGGCGCATGCCTGTAGTCCCAGCTACTCGGGAGGTTGAGGCAGTAGGATCGCTTAAGCCCAAGTGATTGAGGTTGCTGTGAGCTAGGCTGACGCCATGGCACTCACTCTAGCCTGGGCAACAAAGTTAGACTATGTCTCAAAATAAAAATAAAAATAAAACCCTAAATCCAGGCCAGGCACAGTGGCTCATGCCTGTATTCCTAGAACTATGGGAGGTGGGAGGATTGCTTGAGGCCAGGAGTTTGAGACCAGCTTGGGCAAGAGCGAGACCCAATCTCTACGAAAAATAGAAAAATTAGCTGGGCATGGTGGCGCATGCCAGTACTTTTAGCTACTCAGAAGGCTGAGGCAAAAGGGTCACTCGAGCCTAGGAGCTTGAGGTTGGAGTGAGCTCTGATGACACCACTGAACCAGATGTCAGAGTGAGACCCTGTCTCAAAAAAACAAAGAACAAAAAAAGCCTGAATCCTTGCCATGGCTTACTAGGCCCTTCTCCACCGGTATTTCCCCCCCTCCCACCTCCGTGTTCCATCACCACCCACCTTCTTTTGCTATCCTGAGCACACCTTAGTCTCTCTAAATCCATCCATCACCCTCTGTTGGGAGTAATTTGCTCCACTGACCCGCTTAACTAACTCCTGTTCAACACCTCTTCAATGAAGCCTCCCTGATCACCCAGACCAGATAATTACCCCTGCTGGATGGAGCCACAAACCTCTACACATGCTCTTTGCAGCTCTTGTCAACCTTCTTATTTAGTGTGCGCCTTCCAAACCACATTGGAAGCTACATGACAGCAGGCCCTGCAGCTGCCTTGAACACTTTGGAACCTATCTTCTTGCACCATGCCTGGCCCAGAGGAAATGCTTGTTTCACTTAGGAATTTTTAGTGGCAAGCTACTAAAAAGGAATTTAGGAGAAGACTCTGTGGTAGAGCTTAGAATTCAAGGGGAGCTGGTGTGAGAACAGGACCATCCCTACAATCCCACCCTATTTTTGTCAGTGTTCTCTAGCCAAAGACCAATAGGAACACACCTGTAGTGTTGTTACTTGTTGCTACAAGGGAGAATACACACTGTGGGGAACTGTGGGATTCTCAATAAGATGGTATCAAAAGGGATTTATTATAGGATTTGGGCTTGTGTATAGTGCTTTTGGGAAGGGTTCAAGGAAGTGGGGTTTGCCCCGGATTAGATGCCATCAGGAAGCATGGATATTTCTATGATTGGACATCTTAATAAATCTTACCTACAAAGTGGGAGGAATTAAGCAAGGCTAAAGCTATAATTGGTAAAGAAGTAGTAGTCACTCATATTAGCCTGGATAAGGGAATGTTTGGTCATTTCTGTGGTTTGGACAATGTTCAAGTTGTTTTCTGTGTTCAGACAGGATTAAGGAGTGGTATTGTTTTTGCCTTGATTATCACAGTTAGAGTGGCCTTGTCTGATGTTGATGTTCTGTGAAATTAACGTTTAATGGGAGAACACCACGGTCATGCTGTGTCAGGACAGATCCTAGCAACAGCAAGGCATCACTGACAGAGCTAGGCCAGTTCCTAGGTGCCATGGGCTGCTTTTATTTTTCTCACCAGCCTTCTGTTTCTACCTTGAATAGTCTCTCTTCCTAAGACTTAGAGCCCTGGCAGAGAGAGTCAAGTTGGCCAGACTTAGATCCCACCTCCATTTTTTGGCTGTCCTGGGTCTGTGAGAGAGTATCAGGTACAAGCTGGGGTGCCATTTGATCAGGATACATTGAATGGAATATTGGGTTCTTAAAATAGAGAGATACTTCTTAACTGGTTGGTAAAATAGGTGATTCCCTCCCCTGGGATCCCAGGGACCACTTAGAATCTAGCTACTAAAGGGTTAAGGCTTGGCTCATTCTAATTGGCTGATGTCCCTGCCTGTTCAGCTATTTAATATTCTGAACACAACCTTTGAGTGAAGTCTTCATGGTACCAATTATTCTCCTACCAACACCGATCTTGAGATGGGAAAAGTAATTCTCCAACAGGAAATCAGAATACTTTGAGTGAAGAGGAAGGGATGATGAGTGGTCAAATAAGACTACATATGTTCAATAGAATGTTCATTAATATTTGATAAGGGGTGGACAGAAAGACAAATGGATGCAAGCATCTAGCAGGAAGAAAGAAATCAAGCAGACTGCAGGTTACATCACCCTGTCATACATGTGGGGAACTTAATGTCTTCACTCCAGAGGACAGGGAAGTTTAAGACAAATTCTTTTTCCTCTTAATTCCATTTGAGCAGTTCCCTGGCATTGTCCTTACTTGCACCAAGGGTGTGCTAGCCAGCCCTAGCACCAGTATCAGTGGCTGGAGCTGAGGGTGGGGCATCAGACTGCTTTGTGAGGTGGCATCAGTGACAGGGGTGCTATGAGGCAGGGGCTTCCCCACCCCAAACTGGCTATGTCAGCTGTACCAGTCCTTCCCTCCAGCTCCCTAACACCATCTGCCTGACCTGAGCTTTGCCATGTTGCTGCCACTGCTGGGTGCCTGTGCCGTACTGGGGCCGTTCCATGGCCCAGAGTGGGAGCCAGTGCAGGGTCTGCTCCCTGAGGATCGCAGCTGCAGGGACCCTAGGTGCCGAGGCAACCTGTTTGTCCTCTGTCTCTTTCTGATCTGGCAGATGCGGCACTATTGGCGCCAGGTCACCAGGACCCGCCCCAACAGGAGGAATGTCAACAAGGTGAGGGAGCCCTCTACACATTCACTCTCTTTCCCTCAGCACCATGACTGTCTCAGTCACTTGTTACGAGGACCTTGTTCTATGCCCTGTGTACCAAAGATGAATCAGAGGGGATCTCAGGCTGGTGAGGGAGAACATGGTTCAGGCCCCAAGCCCAGGAGTTGCCCTGGACCCCTATCTTTCCTTTACTCCATGTTCAGTCCATCTGCAAGTCCTATGGGCTTTACTTGCAAATCATATCTCAAATCTGATCACTTCTCCCAAACTCACCCAAACGCTGTTGGGCAGAGCTGCCACCATGTATCACCTGCACCACGGTAACAGCCTCTGCTTAGTCCCTGCCACTTCCCTTGTCCAACCACAGTCTTCCACACAGTCACCAGAATGACCTTCTTCTTTCTTTCTTCAAAACACAATTTTAAGGCGGGGTGTGGCTCACCCCTATAATCCTAGTAGTTTGGGAGGCTGAGGCGGGAGGATTGCTTGAGGCCAAGAGTTCAAGATCAGCTTGAGCAACATAGTATGACCCTGTCTCTACAAAAAAACAGAAAAGTTAGCTGGGCATGGTGGTGTGTACCTATAGTCCCAGGTATTTGGGAAGCTTAGGCAGGAGGATCGCTTGATCCCTGGAGTTTGAGATTAAGTGAGCTATGATGGTACCACTGTACTCTAGCCTGGGTGACAGAGTGAGACCCTGACCCTGCCTCTCAAAAAAAATTTTTTTTTAATTCAAGGATAATATGCAAACACAAATTGCAGGTGTATAGATCAATAAATTTTCACAAATTGAACACATTTACTTATAGAACCCAGATTAAGAAACAAACCATTACTAGCAGCCCAGAAGTGTGCAGTCACAGTCTGCTGATTTCTAATAGCATAGACCAGTTCTGCCTGTGTGGAACTATATGTCAAGCATTCTTTTGTGTCTGGTTTAAGTTCGACATAATGCTGTGAGCCAAAACAAACTTTTTTTTTTTTTTTTTGAGACAGAGTCTCGCTTGTTGCCCAGGCTAGAGTGAGTGCCGTGGCGTCAGCCTAGCTCACAGCAACCTCAAACTCCTGGGCTCAAGCAATCCTTCTGCCTCAGCCTCCCGAGTAGCTGGGACTACAGGCATGTGCCACCATGCCCAGCTAATTTTACATATATATATTAGTTGGCCAATTAATTTGTTTCTATTTATAGTAGAGACGGGGTCTTGCTCTTGCTCAGGCTGGTTTCCAACTCCTGACCTCGAGCAATCCACCCGCCTCGGCCTCCCAGAGTGCTAGGATTACAGGCTTGAGCCACCGCGCCCGGCCCAAAACAAACTTTTAAGAAAAGATCATGGTACTTCACTGCTCAAAACCTGCGATGGCTCCTGCGATACACTCCCCGTCAAACTCAGAATAAAATTCCTAACTGCAAACTCCTAACTGCAACTCCAAGGCCCAATAAAATGTATCCTGTGTTTATCCCTGACCTCATCTCCTGGGGCTCTCCTTGTTACTGATTCCATTATGATCACCTGAGCTTCATTGCTGTTCCCTGTACACATGATCTTGTTCCAGCCTCAAGCCTTTGCACTTAATGTCTCCTCTGCTTACAATGCTTTTTCCCCAGATGTCACTTGGTTTTCCCCTCACTTCATTCTGGTCTTCAGTCACACACCACCTCTTCCAAGAGGCCTTCCCTGAAAATTCTGTTTGAAGGAGCTAATCCCACTGCCTGCTCTGCTATTATTTCCATAACAATACTTTTTGATGCCAAACATTATGTTGTATAATTGATTGTATTTTTTCTATTTCTAGAGTATAGCTCCTAACAGGGTCTTTTATTAGTATCTTGTTCATGTTGGTACCCCCAGCCCATAGACCGTGCCTGGCCCAGAGTAAAACTCTTAGTCCTTCTTGAATGAATACCATTTGCTGTAAGGGTGACTTAAGTGACTCCCCCTTTCCTGAGCCCAACCATCCTCATCTGAATAGTGGGGACTAGAATCCTGATCTGTTTGGATTATACGAGCTAATATGTGTGTAAGGATTTTGCTTCTCGGTTCTAACCTACAGGTGCCACCACAGAAGTTGGCAGTGCCCTCCATGAGACATGAAACTTTCTTCAGGCCAACTCCTGAATTCTTCCTCAGTCCTGGCAAGTTCAGGGGCCTGGATGCTCATGTCCAACAGTGGACACAAAAGAAGAGATGGGGATACCAGAGGAGGCTCCAGGAGTCATGGGCCCAGTACCTGCTCTCTCCACAACACCTGTGTCAGGGCCTATCTTGGGGTGCCCACACACACTCTGAGCCCATCTTTTGTACCACCTCCTTTTCAAGCACCTGTCTGCTCCCTCAGGGAAGTTCCTGGAAAGCATGTCAGGTACCCTGGTGTCTCAGTGATGGGTGGACTCACCCTGCCTTGGACATGTGCCAAAACATGGAGCAGCTACTGGTTCACTCCCAGGGAAAGTTGGTGCCACTGGAACCTGTCATCAGCATGAGGTCCTGTCCCACCTCCATGACCTTAGCCACCTCTCTTCCAAACCTCCCTTCAGCTCAGAGGCTACAGTTCTGCCCCAGAGAGTTCCTGCCTGATCTTTCCAACCAGCTACTAGGAATGCGTACCTGGAAGTCTTGGGACTGCCCACAAGAGGCCTGGGCTCCAAGGGGTGAAAAACAGACCGTAGGCAGTGGGGACAGTAGAGAGATCCAGGCTCCAGAGTGGGTGAGCCAGAGAGTGAGCAGAGGGGCAGATACTTGGGAAATTCAGGCATCTGGGAGGCAACTTCCCATAGCCTTTGGTATGGAGGATGATGCAGAGACTAAGGTCCTGGAATATGAAAACCAGAGACTAGTAATAAGTGAAACTGATGGCGAGATCCTGACACCAGGGTGGGAGAAGCAGGACCAGATGGGAGTCAAGAATAGAGTCAAAATTCAGGAACTTGGGAAGAGAAACCCAAGGGAAGCTGGAAGTAAGAATCCTCCTGAAACCCAAGCACATAAGGGAGAGAACCAAGAACACTTAAGATGTAAAACTGATGCAGAGACTCAAACACCAGAGTGGGGGAACCAGGGTAAGAATGGAGGTGAGGATGCTGTGGAGAGGAAAAACAAGAAACAGGCCAGAGGGGAGGATAAGGGAGAGATCCAGGCTCAAGGATTGGGGAAGCAGGACCAGACTGGAGGTGAGAATGGTGGGGAGACCCAGATGCCAGAGTGGGGGGAACAAGACCAGATTGGAGGTGATGCTGGTGCAGGAATTCAGACAGAAGATGGAAGAAACAAGGATCAGGTTGGAGGTGAGGATGCTGTGCAGGAACAAGACCAGATTGGAGGTGATGCTGGTGCAGGAATTCAGACAGAAGACGGAAGAAACAAGGATCAGGTTGGAGGTGAGGATGCTGTGCAAACGCCGTCATTCAGGAAGGAGAACCTGGGAGAAGTGAAAAAAGAGGATGGTGTAGAGGCCCAGGCCCTGGAGTGGGGAAAACAGGAATACATTGGAAGTGAGGAGGTTACAGAGATCCAGACACCAGGGTGGGAGAAGCAGGATCAGGGTGGAAGTGAGAAAGCCTGGAAGACCCAAACATCTAGAGGAGAGAACCAGAAATTATTAAAACATGACATTCAACTGGGCTGGGAAAACCAAGGCCTGGGAAGAGACAAGAATGCCGAGGAAACCCAGATAATGAGCAGGAAGAAGCTCAAGGAGATAAGAGAGGAGGATTGGGTGGTGATCCAGGCACCATGCTGGGGAAACCGGACACTGGTGGCAAGTGAAACTGATAAACAATTCGAAATACCATGTTGGGCGTATCAAAACCAGATTGGAGGAGACCACAGAGCAGAAATTCAGGCACCAGAGAAGACAGACCATAGAAAGGATGGAGACGAGGATGGTACAAATACTCTGGCACCCAAGGCCAAGAACCAGGAACAATTAAGAGGTGAAACTCATACAGAGACCCATCTAGCAGGGAGGAAGAACCAGGAGCAGTTTGGAGATGACAGTGGTACAGACATTCAGGCACTAGGGCCAAGAAACCTGAAAGGGGTTAAAGGTGAGGATTATAAAGAGACCCAGCAACCTGGGGAAGAAAATCAGGGTCAGTTAGGAAATGAATTTAATGGAAAGGTTCACATACCAAAGTGGAAGAATCAGGAACATTTTAAAGGCGAGGACGGTGCAAATACCCAGACATCTGAGGCAGAGAACTGGGGCGAATTAACAAGTAAAATTGATGGAGAAACCCATTCAGCAGGATGGAAGACCCAGACAACTGAGGCAGAGAACTGGGGCGAATTAACAAGTAAAATTGATGAAGAAACCCATTCAGCAGAATTGAAGAAAGAGGAGCAGATTGGAGGTGAGAATGGTGCAGAAATTCAAATACAAGGGAAGAGAAACCTAAGTGAAGTTATAGGTAAGGATGGTGCAGAGATCTGGGCACCTGGGAAAGAAAATCTTGATAGAAAGATCGTTTTATCAGAGTGGAAGAACCAGGAGCAGATGGGAGGTGAGACTGAAACAGAAACTCAGGCCCCAGAGAAGAGAAACCAGAGAGAACCTGGAGATGAGGATCACGTAAAGACCCAGAGCCCAGAGAGCGAGAACCAGGGACAGTTAGGTAGTGAAAATGGAGGAAGCCACTCACCAGGGAGGAGGAACTGGGAGCAGACTGGAGGGAAGAACATTACAGAAAATCAGGCATCAGAGAAGAGAAACCAGAGAGAGGCTGGAAGTGAGGATGGTAGAAAGATCCAGAGACTTAGGGAAAAGAACCAGAGACTCTTAAAAAGCAAAGTTAATGAAAATGCCTGTTCATTAGAGTGGAAGAACCAGGAACAGATTGGAGGTGGGAATGATGAAGAAAGTCAAATACAAGGGACAATAAACCCGAGAGGAACCACAGGTGATGATGGTACAGAGACCCAGGCTCCTGGGAAAGGGGACCAGGGACAGTTAAGAAGTGAAATTGATGGAGAGATCCAGGCACAAGGGCAAGGAAACCAGAAAGAGGGTGGAGATGAGGATGCTGCAGAACTCCAGGATGTTGGGAGCCAGAGAAAATGCAGAGCTGAGGATGCTGGAGAGCCTCGAGAACCAATGGGAGGAAGCAAGGATCAGGTGAGAGGAAAGGATATTGCCAGGGCTAGTCTCCAGGCTGACTGTTCTGGGAGTGAGGGGCCCACAGGTAGGCAGCACAGCCCAGCACGGCCTCCAGCCTTCACTGGTTCTGGATATGGGTCCACGGAACCGGAACAGACAGTGGCTGTGAACGGTTTAGCCCCTGCTCCCTGTCCTGAGATGAAGCCTCTGGCCAGCCAGGGCACAGCCCCTCCCAGGCAGCACAGAGCGGGGGTCAGTCCAGCCTCCCAGCAGGGGATTCAGGCCCAATCTAAATCCCAGAGAAGAAGACAAAGGGACAAAAGGGTGGATGCAGAGAAGGCTTCCAGCCCCACTGGGCAGCCCTGGAGCCATGTGCCCTCTGCCTGCCCCCCCCTTCTGTGTGGCCAAGCTCCTGAAGCTGACACAGCTCTGGTGGGTGCTCTCACTGCTTTCACTGTCCCACCCAAGTTACCAGTCCTCAAGAAGAGCAAACACCTGCTCCTGGAGTCCCTCATGAAGCGGAGAATTGCACACCTGCAGTGGGGCCTTCCCCGGAGGATCCTGGAGTCCTATCTGTTGTTTAACTTCTTAGGATCTTGTTCATTGCCCCTTGCTGGGGTGAGGTTCCCCGGATTATACACAGGCCAGGAGCTCCAAGGGCAGCAGGAAAGACATTGTGAGCCCCAGGGCTCCATGCCAAGCCCTAAGACCCCAGAGAAGTTCCAGAGGGTTCAGCCCCTCAGCAGAAAAAGCTCAAAACTTCCTACACAGGCCCAAGCTCTGGAGAAGTATAGACCAGACAGGTCAGAGTCCATGGATATTTCCACCCAGCCTGAAAAGCCCAGGAGAGTCATGCAACCAGGGGGCGCCAGAGACTCACAGGACATCCAGGAAACTGCTCCTAGCGCCAAGCTCCCTGCTCCCAGGAACCCCAGGCCTGCAGCAGAGTCCAGGAGCTGGTGTGGCCCAGAAAGCTTCCGAGAGCCTTCCAGTGAGAACAGAAGGGGCAGGAAAATGGTCAGGCCAGGCGTCTCACGGATGGCAGATAGGCCTCCCAGCAGAGTGAGGACTTCATCCTCCATGGCAGGCCATGACCCCTGGAGGAAGGAGTGTACATCTTGGGAGGCCTCTAAGCCTCCCAGACCCAAATGTCAGCAGCCCACAGACTGGAGAAGAGAAAGCCTGGAACCTGCCGAAGGCAGAGGTGCTGGGCAGCAGCCTTCATCTGATTCCACAGAAACTGTCAGCATCCAAGGGAGTCTCCACTCTGCTGCAGCAAGGCGGGATGGGACCCTTCTGAACAAGATGTCCTGCTCCCCACAGCTGGCCAAGCCCCAGCACTCAGACCCCCACTTAAGCGTGAGGGAACCTGATCCTACCCTGCTTCCCAAATTGGGTGACCCACAAGCAGAGAAGGACAGCATTGGAGACCATACTTCTTTGGAGAGGAACCTTCAGCCACCAGGTCACTGCTGTGCTGGTGCCAGTCTTCCCAAGACAGAGAGCCCCCAGGGTCAGACAGCTCCTAGGAATTCACGTGGGGTCCCACAGAATCTACCAGCATCCAAAAAGTTTGGTTTTATGAAGCATTTGAGGTTTTTTCTTTTCCATTGTGGCTTTAAAAAGTAGGCCTCAGGCCCAGAGTCCTCAGGACACATCAGAGAAGGCTTGAGAGTGTCCTGCTTCCCTGAAAGCCTCTAATAAAATTGCCTATTTGGGCCCTGTGGGGTTCTGATTTCTCTGGCACATCTTTTCTGGTCTCCACAGTTGGCCAAGCCCCAGCAGTAAGCCCCCAATCTGAGCCTTTTGGGATTTGGGATATTTTGTGGGTAGGGTATAAGCCACTGCCATCCTGTGGTTTTGAAGGTTTAGGGAATGTAGGTCAGCTCAAGGTCATCTCCTAAACACCTCCTCTCTAAGTTCCTCACAGTAAGGTGCACTGAGGTTTCTATCATGGTTCTGTCTTGCCCTAGTCCCAAGTTCATCCTGATTGCAGCAGGATATTCGGTCTCAGTCAGCCTCAGCTGCTTTTGGGGAGGGGTGGTGATCTGCATGGGACACCATTATTCAGGTCCTTTTGGGTACAAAGAAGGGAGATGATCACTGTGCAGCTGTCCTGCTGGGGTTCTGCTGCCCAAGAGCAGACTTCATGGAAAAAACATCCCACTTCTTCAATTCTCATATACCGCCAACCACAATTATTTGTTGCTTTGCCTGGTTCACTGTGGGATATCACAGAGCAAATCATTTACTTTAGTCAAGTCTGAAACTTCTGAGCCAATGAGTATTATGTCTTATGATAATTCTGTAGATCACTTAAGCTGGTAGAAACTGATTTAAGCTCATAGAGCCTAAATCAGTGAGTACTGGGGCTGGAAATTTAATTCAGGTTTTCTCCTTCCTCCTCTCTCCTCTCTCCTTCTCTCCCCTTTTCCCCTTCTCTCTTTCATTCTTTCCTTTCACTCTTCTTTCCTATTTAAAAAATAATAATATTGCCTATAGTCCCAGCACTTTGGGAGGCTGAGGTAGGAGGATCACTTGAGCCCAGGAGTTTTGAGACTAGTCTGGGCAATAAAAAAGGAGCAGCAATAAAAAAAGGAGAATTAGCTGGGCGTGGCAGTGTGTGCCTGTAGTCCTAGCAACTCGAGAGCTGAGGTAGGAGGATCACTTGAGCCCAGGAATTCAAGGCTGCAGTGAGCTATGATCACACCACTGCACTGCAGCCTGGGCAATACAGCGAGACCCTGTCTTTAAAAAAACCCCAGTAAATAAGTCATTTTTGTATTGTGATAAAATACACATAACATAAAATTTACCATTTTAGTCATTTTTAAAAGTATAGTTCGGTGGTATTAAATATATTCATAATGTTGTACAACTATCACTAGCATCCATCTCCATAACTCTTTGTCTCGTAAAACAAACTGTGTCCATTAAACAATAACTTCCCATTCAACCACCATTCTACTCTCTGTCTTTATGATTTTGATTACTCTATGTATCTCATATTAATGTAAGTGTAATCATACAATATTTGTCTTTTCATGACTGGCTTATTTCATAATATCCTTAACCCTTTGTACTCGCTTGCTTTTTTCTTGATTCCTTTATTCTACTCGGGATTTAACGTTTTAACTTTTTAAATACACCAGATTTTACAAAGCGCGGCAGTAGAATAAAAAACTGGAGTTTCTTTTCATACAAACTTATTTATTTGGATTTTTTAATATTTCAAATTATTGATACATTCAAAGAGTAATTTTAATCTCTATAATTTTTGCTAAGCATGTGGAGTCGCACTTGACATCTGAGTGCAAAGGGTTAAGGTTCAACCATGTTGTAGCATATGTCAGAATTTCCTTCCTTTTTAAGGCTGAATAATATTCCATTGTGCATATATTTACACTATATTTTGCTTATTTATTCTATTAATTCTATTATTCTATTAATATCAACAGACATGTGAGTTGTTTCTATCTTTCAGCTACTGTGAAAAATGCTGTTATGAATGTAGATGTACAAATATCTCTTTGTGACTATGCTATACCCAGAAGTGGAATTGCTGGATTATATGATAGTTCTATTTTAATTTTTTGAGCAACTGTCATATTGTTTTACACCATTTTATATTCCCACCAACAGTACACAAGTGTTCCAGTGTCTCCACATCTTCACCACACTTGTTATATTCTGTTTTTCGGATGGTAGCTATCCTAATGGGTAGGAGGTGGTGGGAGATGCTATCTCATTGTAGTTTTTTTTTTTTTTTTTTTTGAGACAGAGTCTCGCTTTGTTGCCTAGGCTAGAGTGAGTGCCGTGGCGTCAGCCTAGCTCACAGCAACCTCAAACTCCTGGGCTCAAGCGATCCTCCTGCCTCAGCCTCCCGAGTAGCTGGGACTACAGGCACAAGCCACCATGCCCGGCTGATTTTTATATATATATATTAGTTGGCCAATTAATTTCTTTCTATTTTTATGGTAGAGACGGGGTCTCGCTCAGGCTGGTTTTGAACTCCTGACCTTGAGCAATCCGCCCGCCTTGGCCTCCCAGAGTGCTAGGATTACAGGCGTGAGCCACCGCGCCCGGCCTCATTGTAGTTTTGATTTGCATTTCTCTAATGATTAGTGATGTTGAGCACCTTCCATGTGCTTATTGGCCATTTATATATCTTCTTTGGACAAATATCTATTCAAGTCCTTTGCTCATTTTCGAAGCAGGTTTGGAGTTTTTTTGAGTTTTGGGACTTCTGTATATATTCTAGATATCAATGCCTTCTCAGATATGTGATCTGAAAATATTTTCTCCCATTCCATGGGTTGCCTTTTTACTCTGTTTACATTACTTCCCTCTCCCCACCCCCTACCCCGGAAATGGGGTCTTGCCATGTTACCCAGACTGGACTTGAATTCCTGGGGTCAAGTGATCCTCCCATCCCAGCCTCCTGAGTAGCTAGGACTATAGGCACATGCCACTATGCCCTGCTGATGCTGCCTTTTTTTTTTTTTTTTGAGACAGGGTCTCATTCTGTTGCTCAGGCTAGAGTGCTGTGGCATCAGCCTACCTCACAGCAACCTCATACTCCTGGGCTCAAGCAGTCCTTCTGCCTCAGCCTCCTGAGTAGCTGGGACTATAGGCATGTGCCACCATGCCCGGCTAATTTTTTCTATATATTTTTAGTTGGCCAATTAATTTCTTTCTATTTTTAGTAGAGACGGGGTCTTGCTTTTGGTCAGGCTGGTTTCAAACTCCTGACCTTGAGCAATCCTCCCGCCTCAGCCTCCAAGAGTGCTAGGATCACAGGCATGAGCCACCACGCCCGGCCTGATACTACCTTTTGATGCACAAAATATTTAAATTTTCGTGAAGTTAAATTTGTCTGTTTTTACTTTTGTTGCCTTATCTTTCCTATTTTTTAATTATACATGTCAGCCAGTCATGGTGGCTCATGCCAGTAATCCTACCACTTTGGGAGGCCAATATGGGAGGATCCCTTAAGGCCAGAAGTTTGATGTTGCAGTGAGCTATAATTGTGCCACTGCACTCCAGCCTGGGCAACAGAGTCTCAAAAAAAATAAAAATAAAAATAATAAGTAAAAGTCATACATGCACATTAAAGAGAGTTTAGAAGGCTGGGCATGGTGGCTCATACCTGTAATCCTAGCACTTTGGGAGGCTAATGCCAGGAGAATTGCTTAAGGCCAGGAGTTCAAGACCAGCCTGGGCTGGGCGCGGTAGCTCATGCCTATAATCCTAGCACTCTAGGAGGCCAAGGCGGGCGGATTGCTCAAGATCAGGAGTTTGAAACCAGCCTGAGCAAAAGCGAGACCTTGTCTCTACTATAAATAGAAAGAAATTAATTGGCCAACTAATATATATAGAAAAAATTAGCAGGGCATGGTGGCACATGCCTGTAGTCCCAGGTACTTGGGAGGCTGAGGCAGCAGGATTGCTTGAGCCCAGGAGTTTGAGGTTGCTGTGAGCTAGGCTGACACCATGGCACTCACTCTAGCCTGGGCAACAAAGCGAGACTCTGTCTCAAAAAAAAAAAAAAAAAAGACTTTAGGAAAATTCAGAAAAGAAAAATTAACCCTTAATCCTATCACCCAGTTAATGTTCCAATGTATTTTTTTCCTGTTTTATTTTACTATGGCACTTATATTGTGACAGGCAGCCTCTAAGATGGTTCCCAGTGATCCCTACCTTCTGGTTTTTATGCCCTTGTGTAATCTCTCATTGAGTGTGGACTGGATGTAGTGACTCACTTCTAACAAATGGGATACAGCAGAAGTCATGGAGTGTCATGTCTAAGATTAGGCTACAAAGACTGTAGCTTCCATCTTGGGCACCTGTCTTGCACTCTCACTTACTCCCTGAGGGAAACCACCCTCCACGTTGTGAACTGCCTTATGGAAAGTTACATGTGGCAA